AAGAGCTATTGTTTTCCAGGGTTTTTTTTCAGCCTATGAAAGTTTGCTTTTTACTATCTAGTTGTTAGTAGAGGAGGGCAGGGAGTAGAGTTTTCCACCCAAGGAACACTGACACCAGTATGTAAAAGTTTGATTGTGTAACTAATTATCTAGAAAGACCCTATGAAACAACAGCTGGAGAAGATTAAAGCAGGTGCATTTGGGTCTTGAAGAGGCCACCGCGTGCCAAAAACCACTACAGCCTGGGATTATCTTTCCTGGAATGGGTTCAGGAAAAATAACTCTCCTTCAATTAAAATACACCTGAGATCTTGATATGAAAGGCTGCAGGTTGCTTATTGCTGTTTTCAATATACCGAGTCAGAATTTCCAAGGGTAGAAGCCTACAGGAAGAGTTCAAAGGTAGAATGTTTGTGCAGGAATTGAACACAGCCAGTTTCTCTGCTTTATTAACATCTTGCAGGAGGGAAAAGCAGACATCTCTGGAGGAGGAAAACAAACTTTTTTGTTTCAGAGAGCTGATAGTTTTACTGCCTCTTTCGCTGCCAGGATAAGGTCCTCAGCTGGCATAAACAGCAGAGCTCTGTTGAAGTGCTGGAGCTGTGCCAGGTAAAGCCATCCCAAGATGAATAGTCAGGATACCTTCCTGCTGTCAGATGCCAGAGCAGCTCCTCCCTGAGAGCATGTGACAAAACTTCTACTGAGTCTGTTACTCAAAGTGGCTCTCTTAAAAAGGTTGTTGCTTCAAAGAAATTATGAGCAAGCCACTATCTTTTATTATTTCTGTCTCTCTTGCCCTCTCTTTGTATTTTTCCTTCAGCCAAACCATATTAATTTTGAGCTAGAAAGCTTTCTAAAAGCCTGCAGAAATTAATGAGGGAAAGCCAGCGGTATGCAATGATGTGTGTCAAATAAAAATATAATCAGCATTTTCCCCAGAATTGCCAACACCTTAGGACTTCACAGCAAACTAAATATTTTTAAAGTGGCGCAACAAACGTAAACTTGAAATTTGCCAGCAGTAGGTGGATTGCTGATGCAGTAAATTCTGGTTTTCTTGTACCATCCAGGTAATTAATCCTGTACTTCAATCCCAATAAGCTGGCTGTGTATGTTCCAAGCAGTGTAAAGATAACTTGGGAAATTTGAGAATCATTTATCATTCATTCTTTTCTTTTTCTGTCCCTTCTTAATTCAACTAAGAATATGTAGAGGCTTTAATAAGGTCATTCTCTGCCTTAGCTTAAAACTCTGGAGCACTAGTGGGCTTAGTGTGAACTAGTGAAGGGTTGGTTTTCCCTGTCCAGGCTGTTTTCTCCAAACATATGCTGTGTTGTGGTTCACATATTTTATGAAATATAACTTTCTGGATATTCTGCATGCTGTGCTATAAGCTCTTTGCATAGACTGTAAATCCTCGAGGATTTTGCAAACTAAGAATTTTTTAACACATACATTTACTGTCTAGGCACCTGATCCTCTGATTAGTGCCATACAGGTAAATTCTTACACTCACATAGTTGCAGCATATCCTTTTAGCTCAAGGGTCTGCTCTGCAGATTCTTCCTCAGTAAATAATAAAGTATGCAAGATCACAGCCTTAGGAATCAAAGAAAATACTTTTTAAAAGCAGTGTCTTTGGTTAAACATACCACAGTGAATTTGGATTAAGATCTGATTCTACACTGAATTCACCACTCTTAATCTGCAGTGTAGGGGGAAAATTGGGCCAATATGAAAAAAAAATAAAAACATTTTGCTCACATCTGCCTCCTTATCTGACATTGGAAGGTCCCATAAAGGGATGAAAAAGAGCTGAAATACAGCTACGAACTTTAGGGTTTTTATTGCTCTTATCGGGACAGCATATAAGATGGCTGTGTATATGATGTGTGTCTGTGGTCTTTGACCACAAAACTGAACATGAGAAAGGAAAGTGTTGACACTTGGTAAAGAAACAGGTTCCTCCCAGCCACCCACCCACAAATACAATGTGTGTAGCAATCGTCTCCTAATGTGCTTTTTTCCCCTCCAGATATATGTGAGCGCTCTGATCTTTTATTTGGCTCTTTAATGCATCCCTGCAAATAAAATTAGCATTCTGGGATGTTGCTAAAAAATTCAAGTGGTTCTTTTGCATCAACACTGGCTGGCTTGAAACAAGCTCCGCCGGGAGCCTCGAAGGGGATCCCTCCCACCACAAACTGGTTGAGGATATAGAATCAGGCAGGGAAGACTGGAAAAGGAAGAGGTGTTTGACCTTGGGGAGGTTGCCTAAGCCTCCTCTTTCAGCTCTAATGTTTCCTTTGCTGTATTCCCCTTCTTTGGAATCTAAATTTCTGATACTGAAAATAAGTAGAGACAAACTGATGAGCTCAGTGCCCTGCGCATATGGTTTGATAAATAGGGAACAGCCCGGAATCTTGCGTGGCTGACACTGTGTTTCCAGCTTTGTGGTAAACAGCTGAATAGAAAGGAGAAGGCAGCAAGTCCTGAACTGCACTCGCCAAGAACATCTGCATTTGTGAAAACTTTCCCTAATTGAAAATCTAGTAGTTTCAAATGCTCTCCAACTGGGAGGTTGGAAACTAGCTCAGGGGCTGCGAAGATAGCAAGGAACAGCAGTGGTTTTGAGCCCCCAGTTCAGGTCACTCCCTCGCCCTCCTCCTTGTAATTTGGGCGTTGAGGAGGTGCTAATAATATCTTTACAAATTCTAACAAGGGGAAAAGTCTCTCTTTAGACTTCAGCCACATTATCCTGCAGTTGTCTAACTCCCTTTCCTTGCCATCATCTCCCTTCCCCTCCTCCTCCTCCTCAATATTTCCTCCTGTTTCTTGAGATCTACTACACCAAAAATATTTTTGGAAATACCACAGACTATTGTTTTTATTAGTGACTGGAAAGCTTTGTAGTAGGATGCTTTTGTGTTTCATTTGTTTTCCTTGCTCTGACACAGCTGTTTTTGTTTTAGCAGCATTAGAGAGATGGTTAAACTATTTGTGGCCTTTTCTAACCCAGCAGATCTCTTCCACTGCATGCTTTAATCTGAATGACTGAGACTGTAACTAACAGGTTGTCTGCATGGGCAGTTTTGTGCATAAAGTTACAAATGCACTGGTTTTATGAGATCTTTTAATTTGCTCAAGCAAAACACCGATCACTGTGAAGCAGGTCCCAGTTTCCCTATAAATTTCCCAGCCAGAACATTGACAGAACCTTGACTTGGGAGGATACAGAACAGATGAAGCAGTAGATCTTCTTCAAACCTACACAAGAAATGATTAATGGAGAAGAGGTTTATGTAGCTGTGGTGATCCCCCACCTCAGCCAAGAAGGAAAAGGAAGAAAAGCCAGGCAGGGGCAGAATGTGGTCTGAGGACAAATCTGCCAAAGGTGGCATGTAGCAGCTACAAATGCCTAACTGGCCACTGTGGTTACACAAAGCAAGATGGGAAATTAGGAAACAGGCATCCAGTCAGAGAAGGGTGACAGCAGTAGGTAGTAAATGAAGAATGAAGCAAACGAAAAGTAAAGTAAAATGAAAAAGTAAATGGAGAGTGAAAATGTAATTCGTCTGTGCAAAGGCGTCTTAAGAGCAAAGGGAAGAGAGGAAATGAGTTGTACTGAAGGTTTCAGTGCTCATGTCTAGTGACACAATATAGGTGATATTGAAAGTATGGGCTGATGAACGGCAGGAATATGAAAGCTAAAACTGTAACTGTGTCCTGCTAAATCCCGATCTGACCACACATTCCTGCCACCTCTGCTGGGCAGACACAAGCTGCTGCACAGCAATCAGGTTGAGAGACCTGGTCTGTTTAACAGTGGTTGGGCAGTTTTGTTTCTGGCCAAGTGACAGACCTGGCTCTATTGGCCGTGTGTCTTTGTGAACCCAGGGCTGGCACTGGGGAGCCACGTGGGTATAGGGGAGGTGGCACCATCCCTGTCAGCACCTCACAGCACTGGAAAAACAGCACGTGTGTCAGCTCACCGATGAAATATAATGCAGGGGGAGTGGTGAAAGGACATACTATATCTCCTACTTACAATAATGTAGAGAGTGGCTCTTTATGCAATGGGTTGGGAAGCAATTACATTTGTCAGAAACCACCTCCTTAGTGGCACTGCAAAAGAAAAGGCTGAGATGTCTTTTCAAGCACGTTTTTTTCTCTGCTGTTTCTTATCTTTTTCCTTCATTAAAAATAATTGTTTTCAACTCTCCTGTTAGTTTTGCTGGGGGTCACATCCATGGATCCATGACTGAATGAGGTCGGGGACAATGCAGAGAACAAATCCTGTGTCTTAAAGTCTTGAATGACTAAAGTCTGTTGTCATATGATGGTATCAAGATAATAGTACCAAGAGAAGAGGACAGAGAAACTGAGCAGGACTCAGTAAGGGATTGCATATGTAAATGCATATTAGAGTAACTGGACTTACGCTGCATGTTGGTAATGTGCAGAAGATCAGGTCTTGTATAATAACAAACTTAATCATGTGCTTTTCCTCTATCCAGAAAAAATTGCAACAAAAGCATCAGCATGAGCTGAGCCAAAATGCGGTATTTTATGCTTTAAGCTTTATTACAGTCACAGAATAAAAAAACAACCAAACAAACAAACATGCAGAATTAGCTAAGATATAAGAGGACCCCTGTGGAATATTGTTAATGAGAAAAGATACTGGCTTCTGTAGACATTGGTTATTCACCTTATAATCCATTGAGAAAGAACATATTCTACTTGCATGTCTTGTGTCCACAGAGACATATGACTACTTCTCTATAGGGACTGGTTTACCTCACAAGTACAGGAGTATTAGTCGTCCATCCCACAATGCCAAAATAATCAATGTAGTTACCTCTAGCTCATTCCATGTTTTTCTTTTCAGTCAAATAGCAACATGTACCTTTCAGCCACACTGTTACCCACAGCCCTGTTTTTTGCCTATTCCAGTTATGATCTTTGCACTGACTGTTCTCCTGACTGGCTCATTTCAGGGCTCCAAAGAGTGCGCCAGCTGGAGAAAAACACAAGGTACTTCAGACGAAAACTGCATGAAATGGGCTTTATTATTTATGGCAATGATGATTCGCCTGTTGTCCCCTTGCTCCTTTATATGCCTGGTAAAATAGGGTAAGTACTGAAAGAAACCTGTTGGCAAAACCAACATTATTCAGGCTCATAGGTTATTTGGTGTACACTTTGGAAAATGTAGCTCTGTGTGGTAGATACTTCCTGAGAAAACATGCACTGTTCAATTCATCATTTAGTTCTGTTCTCTTTTAAGTTTGGCCCTAGACTTAATATTGAGTTGTTCCAGTGTTCAGAATGTTAAGATTTTTCTCTTATCCTTTTTTAACGTGGTCTGGAATAATGCATTTGGTAACATTTTTAATTTGGATTTCTTTTATATTTTTTTTAATTTGTAATCATTAAAGGAGACACATTGCCTTTGATGTATGAATTGGTTTGGATGGATGTTCTTTTCCCCCCTCTGATCTTTGAGTGGTCTTTGTGTGTTTTACCACTCAGTTCCTCTCAAGCAGCATTTGTGCACTGACTTGGACACCCAGACCAGGAGTCAGTGGTAGCATAATGTAAGGGTTGAGCTGTGGGGAGTATTTGCAAGGACTTAGCATGACTGTGTGCTCCAGGTCTCATACACACCACAAAAAAAGCTTCTTAACTGGCAGAGTAATTGTAAGAGCAGATAAACCATGACACAGATTGTTTTATGCCTGTTGATGTGCAGGAACCAATCTCTCATGCCTTCCAGAAGCCCAACCTCTTCCATGCTTAGGGGCTGTGAATGCCTACATTTTGATATGCACTCAAAACCTTCCAGTGTCATAAATGAATAGTGTGTCTATCCTGCAGTGCCCTCTCTGCCATCACACTTCTAGTATTTGACACCCACTGTGCTTCATGAGCTGCTAAGCAGCAAAGATTCTCAGTCCTACTGGTAAAATTCTGGCTCTTAAGGAAATCAATGGGAATATTACCATCTGCTTCACTTGAAGACAGGATTTTACCTATTATACCTATATTATATACAATATCATTATTATACATGGATGTTTTCTCTCTGTGTCAGTTATTGGAGATAATTTACTTTTATGGTTTTTTTTCTTCTTCTCTCCTTAGGGCTTTTGCAAGACGCATGTTAGAAAGAAATATCGGGGTGGTCGTGGTTGGGTTTCCAGCTACTCCTATCACAGAATCCAGGGCTCGGTTTTGTGTGTCAGCTGCACATACACGGGAGATGTTAGACACGGTAAGCACAGCAGATGTCCTGCCAAAATTAACTTCAGATGCAAAGGAGGTTGGGGAGAAGCTGTGCCTCTGTTACTTTGAAACTCAATAATTCATTTTTACATTTGTTTTTCTGGCCTTGTCACTTGATCTTTAAAGGCATTGGAGCCTTATATATTTTACTTTTTTAAAATAAATTATGGGACAGTTAACTTGTTACGTTCTTCTATTTCTACTAGTGACCAAATCTGTCATCACTAATAAAGAGCTACATGAAGAGCACAGCAAGACAAAAGTTAAATGCTAGGTCAGAACTATCAGAGTAGGAAACCCGAAACGATATGGAAATAATTGAAAATCAAGTTTTCCATAGCTGTTATCTTCACGTGTTTCTTGAATTGAAAGTATATGGGACAGCCCTGGGGGTACAGGTGGAAATTGCAAGCAGTATTTGGAACTGTTTGAACCTAATTAAGTTTAATTGATGCTGTCTGGCCTGTCTCAGTTCTGTATCTTTCTCTGATATCAGCAATACAGTTAGGAGTATGTTGAGACTGCCATCGTAAAAACCTCCGTTCCAACACAGTCAGAAATGTGTTTAAAATAAACTCTTTGAGATTTTCCATCTCCCTTTCTTGCCGAAGGTGTTTCTGGCCTGGCTTGAGATACGTTCTTTCATTCTCAGAATAAGCCACCACAAGAGGCTTAACGGCAAATTTCAGGCTTTCTTTTTCCTCTCTTTGCACAAGTTTGATGGTCAAAGCAAAAAATCTGTGAAGGTGGAAGGCATTTGAGTTAAAAATGCCACTTCTTCATGCAGACAAGCACCTGTGCCTGCAGAGAGTTCCTGGCTCTGTGTTTGCATCCTGAGATGCACATGGATCTGGAGGCTGGAGCCCTGCCCTGCTGACCAGCTCCCACATCAGTGTAGATTGCTCTCAAACAACATCAAAAAATCTGCCTTGCATGTGTGCAGCATAAAATTCCTTCTGCTTTTAAAGGTGCAGTAGTTATTAGCAAGGTACAATACCATAAAGACAATATTTCATAGGACAGGGCATAGCTATCGTGTTGGTCACTGTCAGCTTTGGGTGTTGTGCTGTGTGGATTTTGGCTTAAGTAACTACTAATAGGCGATGACCTTGATCTGGAGATTAATCTCTTGAGGTCACTGCTTTGATTTTCTTCCTCTCCCCTCGCTCCCAAATGTCAGGCCCAGTACATTTTTGGGCCATCATTTCATGTTCATTACCTGGACATTGCTGCTTCCTGGTACCACTGGAGGTCTGAAATGCTCCACAGTTGTCACTGAACATGCTGTGTTTCTGCTGCAGTACTCGTGGCATTCTCTAAATGTCCTTACAGTCCATGGAAATGCCCTGAGCTGAATTACTTGCAGATGGAAAGCTTTTAAGACAAATGCTTTGTGAACATGCCTAAACCCAGGGTAACAACAGGTAACGAGCACAATGAAAACATTTCCCTTTGGCAAAATTTCTTTTGAATCTCAGCCTGGAACTAAAGAGGAAAGATCCATGAAAGGGCAAGCTCCCAAAAATAACTTCCTTAATGACCTGGAAGCTATCTCTCTGCATAAACCATTACTAAATTACTTCTTTTTTGTTCATGAGCTCGTTTTAGTGGCTTAACAGAAACAGGCTCAAAATCAAAATTGCTGTTTTCTTTCTTGATGCCAAAAAGTTGACTGATCTTGAATGTGGGTCAGATGCTGCAAAACACTGAGCTGCCTCTCTGTGGTACAAAGTTCCTTATCTATTTTTTGAATCTACTGAGAGCTGGGGGGACAGCTCAGCAAATTGCATTACAGTATTACTTAATAATAATATTAATTGTGCCTGTGATATTAGTCTAAGATAATGGAATGCACTAAAATCATCTTAAACTATTCAGGCTATTTATGTTGACTGTGGGCTGAGTCCTAGCTGAGAAATTGCATTAGCAACTCCAGTCCTTGGGAGCTATAGGCAAATATTGAAGCATAGCCTTACACATTTATTTTGCACAAGCAAAGATAACTTTTTGTCTGGGTTGTTATATCTCTGTGTTTTTAGAAAAAGTAATTTTTTTCATCTGTGTTCAATTAATGTACTTACTAACAAACCATAACCTACTGAAGGAGTAAATTCTGTTCTCACAGATGCTGTTGTGCATCTGTGACTGCACTGATGTTCGCTACAGTGGGATGAATGCAAAAATCACCCATTTGTCCTTTAAACTTTCTTTAACTGATGTTTTTTATAATCTTGTTCTGCTGTAAAATAGAGGTTACTAGAACTTCATTTCTTTTCCAAGAGAACTGACAAAGTAAAATGGTCTTACAGGTTTTGAATGCTCTGGATGAATTGGGTGATTATCTACAACTGAAATATTCCCGGTATTCCAAGTCATCTCATCCTGAACTGTATGAAGAAACTAGGCTTGAACTTGAAGATTAAGTTTTCCACCTCTGAAGAGAACATTATGATGCTATGAAAGGGCGGAAAACCCGAAAACTGAAAAACACGAACGCATTTCTTCCCTTCTAAGGACAATTTTTATTTCTCAGTTAATTGAAAGGAGGGGAAGTTCGGCTGTTGCATCTTGTTGTATCAATTTTCTGTATTCAAGAGACTGAAATATTGATACAGATTTGCCTCCCCAGGAGATCTGTGCTTCTTACGGTATTTTTGATGCAGGATGAATGCATCCATTTTTCGAGTTGCTAGCGTACAGCTTTTGGTATGGCCCCTTTTTATGGAGAGGCTCCAGATAGTCTTAATTGTGACTGAAATAATAAAGTTTAAAAAAAAATTAATAGATTCCAGTGTAATATAGCTGAGCTTCATCAGTGAGACTGACTTCTATCTGTTAAAGAGCATAAATCAAGACCTCAGTATGGAATGCTACAGAGGAATGAGCAGAAAGTGATCTCTTTTACTAAGTTGCACTATCATGCATTTCTCCAAGGACAGAAAATGTTAGAAAAAGATTAATGCTGAGAACAAGAGAAGTAGCCTGATCAGATCATGTGTTTCTGATGGCAGATTATGGGAAAGGGAGAATGCCTCCACCCATCCACAGACCTTTTCTCAGCTGCTGAAATGCACTCTAAGCTTTGGATTGTACAGAAATTTGGGCTTAGACATGAACAGAAATGCTTTTGTGCCAACACATTTGACCTACAACCTATCCCATCTTCTCCCAATGTAAGTTCTTCGGCAGGGCTTGCTCCCTTTTTGTGGAGCAGTAGTAAATAATTTTAATAACCATTTAACTTTCCCGTAAAAACCTTGATCAAAACAGTCAGATACTTGCAGTTCACAAACTGCAGATGACATTTATGGGCCCATTCCTAAGTTTCTTGAACTACTTATGGGCCTAATAAATTCACTAACAAGTACATAATGCTGAAGCTGTTAGTTATACAGAATGTGAAGTTCAATACCATGAGCAGTTCTGCCACCTGTTAAACAGAAAACTCCATCATTTCTATGTGTGCTTAAGTCATCCATGTAATAACATTTCTTGAAATATTCTTGTCTGTTTTATGCATGTCAGGGGTTGTTTTATTTGTCCAGTTTTTCTGAGTCGTTTGTTTTTCAAATAATTGTTGTATCATCTGAGGGGGAAGATGTGCTTGTCCCCTTGTCCCCTGCCTGAGTGACAGTGCTCAAAGCCACCTGAAGGAGTTGTTAAAGCCAACAGTTTCCCTGCAATGCCACAGCAGCATTATCCTCAGGCCTGTGTGGGCTGAGTTGCTGGAAGGAGATTGGAGGCTTTTCCCTTTTTTTCTTTGCAGCATTGAAAAGCAGTTCTGCAGCTTTAAGAATGAACTCCAAACAATTCCACGCTATCAAATGTCATTGTAAACACATCAGATGAGAGATGTTTAGCTTTCTGTTGCACAGATGTACCACACTTTCATGTTCTCTTGAAAGCTGTGGTGTAAACTTAACCCACAGCTGCAATATTAGATTTAAGAACAGAACAATTAAATTGTGGAGTACCAATTACACTATATTACTCCCTGCTTGTTAAAGCAGCTTTCAGGATATAACCAGGCTGACTGATTATGAGGGCCCATTTTTGTTGGATTTTTGTTGTTGTTGTTGTGCTAGTTAATAAAAATCCAGTGGTGCTATAACTTTAAGAATTGATTACAACACATTCCATAATATCAAGTGTCGGCTTTAGGAAACATATATCAAGGGCTGGGGGAGGACTAAATGGTGTGTCATATGATTCTTCACTTTGGTGGACGGACTTGAAAAACACTGCAGAGGTTCAGGGGAGCTGTGTTTGTGGATAAGAGCAAACTCACTGTATAAATAATTAAATACTCAAGCACAGGACGAGGAGAAATTAGGAAACATGAACTTTGAGTAACCTGGCAACTTGTGATGTACAGCTTTGTTACATGCAGAGTGAGTGCACTTAAACTGTGAAGGAGGTGGGATGCGAAATTTCTGCAACCTGCTCCTGAAGGAGAAGTACTGAACTTGATCTATTGCTTTTTGATCTCTATTACTGAACATCTGTGGCCAGATCCTCAGTTGACTTCTGACCTGCCATCTTGTGGTATAGGGCCATAGTTTATATTTCAGCAAACATTATTACACGTGTTGTTGCAGGCAACACGCTTTTTCCCTCAAAGAGAGGCCTGAGATTGATTAAACTACAGAGTGATCACTTTTTGTACCCCTTTAAGGGAATGTTTTCAGCCTAAAGCTGAATTCTTCCTGCCCTCAGAACATTACTCTCACTCATATTAAGGAGACAGGACAGCTATTTTTCAGAGACTGTCAGTTGATTTATTATGTGCCTTCTTCTGATTTCTTCCATCCCTTACACATTAGAGAAAGTACAGGCTGACTATCCCTGGGCTGGGGAACATTTAGGGAGAAATCCCTGTTCCACTGGTGCAGTAATAAAACTCGTGGGAACTTCAGTCTTTTAGATTTTCCCCATGAGGCTTAGTTATGGTCTGTTGCTTGGTTTTCACCAGCATGGACTTTTTCCTGGTTTACATCACTTTTAGTAGATTTAGAGTTGACCAGCATTTGGAAACTCTATTCTAGCTAGTTTAAGAGAAAAACTGATAGAGTATCTATTAGGCAATTAACACCTCTAGCATAAGGAACACATATTTCCTAGAATGTGCTCCATCTTCAGGCATGCACATTCTTGGGAAATACAGCTCCCTGTAATTGCTTTAGAAGGTTTTGAAGAAGAATTGCCTTCAATAAATAAAAAAAGGCCAAGTTGTCATGTTTTAATCCAGTGGAAACACAGGTATAACTACACTAACTTTTTATTGTCAAGCTGCATTTCATTATCTTACATAAAATCTTGATTGACCTTTATGATATGGGAGGACTCAAGAGTTTCTGTTTGACAGAGTATCTGAATTGTTTGCCCTTTCCTGTACCTTTATCCCACCTCATCTTTTAGAAAGTCTCAATTTCCTGAGCTTATCAAACTTGTCAAGGTGGTTCCCCCCTCCACTGCTCCTGTGTCTTTGTATTGTTTCAGGGAAAGCAGACTGGCAGCTGCAGAGGACCTGAAGTGCAACAGTTGGCTTTTTGGCATTGCCTCACTGCCTGCTTTTCCTGGTATCCTCATCAGCTCCTGCAGACATTAATCTTTCCTTTTCAAATAAAAATTTCCTCCTGAAGGTGCAAAATTTCTGCGCTGAACGGAATCTGAACTGCCCGAGCTGTTGAGCCAAGAATGGGCTTGTTCTGTCATTTGTGCAAGTGTAGACCAGGTTAAGTCTTGCTTTGAAGTCAATACTGTTATTTTAAGGCCAGTACAACCGTGAGAGGAACCTGTCAGCGTGAGGTGAGCTGCCTGCATTTATTTCAGAGGGGTTTGAACACTCTTGTCTCTGGACTGTTTCACAGCTGCCTCTTCACAGGGGACCAAGATATGGAGTGGATTTATTTAAGGTAGGATTTCAGATTTTTTTTTTAATTTTATTTTATTTTTCAAAGTGTGTTTGGTTGAAGGTGTATCACGTTTTTCTATGTCCTGACAGGGAATAAAGTAGTGATGTAAGAAAAGCAGTCTGTGCTAAAGGTGTTTATGTACTTTCTAGCCTGCTTAGAAATCCAATAGAGATTCTCCAGTATATGATCTGCCTTTTATTTGTGCATAAAGTTTAATTGTTCTTCAAATTAAAACACAAATCAGGACTAAATTTTAAAGAAACCACACCACCAGCTGAGAAATGGCAGATGTCTTGCGGGTATTGGCAGCTGAACATTTGAGCCTCCAGATGCCTTGAAAAACAGTATCTAGGTGTTTCCCTCATTTACTCACACATCCAGTGTTGTTTGTGCTCACTGCGGATCAGTCACAAGATAATGAGGACTCACTTTATCCATTTGGGAGGCAAAGCTTCAGACCTGTCAAGATGGTCCCAAAACCACCACCCATATGACCACACAAAATTAACTATTAAGCACCATCAGAACAGGAGTCTGGGGTCTGAATCAGGGTGGTTGCTCAGCACTTACTGAAGAGGGGAGTGTGTTTCTTTCCACATACATAGCATGTCACTGACAAGTGACATAAGAGAGCACTGATAAATCCATTTTTATCATGTGCTAATCATGTTAAAAGGGTAATGTAGAGGCACAGGAGATGGAGAGACATAGTGGACTCAGAGACTTAGATTAGATCCAGTTGTGTGGAAAGAATTTTTTGGTGCAAGCGTTACAGGAGTTGTCAAATCCGTTTAACCAGGTGGGTGGAAAAGTGGAAAACGTGGTCTTTAACATCAAAATAGTGATTTCAAGGTAGGCAAAGAGAGCTATTGCACCTCATGTGTTACTCCTGTTTTTTTACAAAGAGAAGCAAGGGTAGATGAGGTGCCATGGCAGATGACCCTGATACTTGGTACTCTATTCATAGAACCTTTTTGGAGAGTCACTTCCAGATGTTTTAATTGTTATCAGTATACTCAAGTTCCACAGCTTTTGCTGCAGGGGTAGCCAAGGTTACAGTGATGCTTGAGCCACCATCTGTAACGAACTGTGCTCATGCTGAAAATTGTTCAGAGATCATTCTAGTGACAAGCGTGCACAGCATCACTGATGGTTGGGATGCTCTCATTGGGCATCACTGCTGGGATGCCACCTCTGGGAGTGGCTGTGGTATGGTGACAACTGCCTGTGCTTCTCTGCCAGGTGTACCTGATGTGGCTCCAGGACAGGCATGACAGGCTGTCCTCTCCTTTGCAGATACAGAAGGACATGGGCCGTAGGTCGCTCCAGCAGATGAGTTTCTGGCACTTCAGCTCAACCAGAAGATGTGGCCATGAAAGCAGGACACTGTAGGAAGTCTAGAAAATCAGTTCTCACAAGTAAGTCAAGTACCTGTAGTAACAGATAGAGAAATGTTGATGTCTGTGTCATGGAGCAATGGTCCTTTCCTCTCACTTCCACTGAAATTGTCTCAAAGAATTTGCTGTGAGCATGAACTGACTCTGGTATCCGGTGAGTGGGCCAACATATTATGTATCCTCCAGTTCCTGGAGCTCAGAACTGATCTCTCATTCCATGAAGTGCCATCAAGTTTGTTGCTCTTGTCTTTGGTATCTGTATTTCCCCTCCCAGCACTGCAAGCAGCAGATCTGTCTTGCCAGAGACAGATCTCTCTCTTCAGAGCACAGCATGAAGAGGACAGCTGAGCCTGTTGGGGTCTGATATGACCTCACATGATCCATGGCACAGCAGTGAGTAAGTGTTTCTTGGCACAGGGGCTTTGCTGTGCTGCAGATCACTTCTTGTCTGAAGTGGGTTCCTCATCTGTTTACCTCTCAAGCAGCTGTTCTGGAATAGCACAGAAGTGGTGAAATCGGTGGGGACATTTCAAAAGCATAGTTTCTCCTGTGTGTTTCCTGGAGCCTGCTCTGACACAAGTATCCTCCTTGTGTCCTACTCTCCCCTTGTTGTTACCACACAAACCTCGTGATGTCTTGGCTCTCTGCTCTGTACAGAAACTGTTTCGTGCATTGCTGGGGATCCTACTTTCATGTGGGAGCTGCTTTTCTAACAACCCTCACACCAAGGACACAGCTACTCTCAGACAGTGGTCTGAAGAGGCATGATATTTTTTTATAGTTCCAGGACCGTCTATTTACACTTGTAGCATTTCCTGGTGTGCAGATCATCCTAATACAAACTCTCTGAATCCCACTGCACACTCTAATACCCATGTTTTAAAAACTGCTCAGTGAACCACTGTAACCCGTGAATTAGAGCTCTGAACTGGATACAAGAGACCCAGTTCTGATCTGCCTCTGTTCTGCTGAGTAATTACAGATGACATACATTAGCATTTCTTGCCTCATTTTTATCCCTCTGTAGCACTCTGATAGTGATTCTGATTTGTTTGTAAAACAATAAGTTGAACTGATGAGAAGAGCTACAAAAGAGTGAAGTGTTGTTATTATCTGAGTGGTCTTTTAATTTCTATATCTCAGAATGTCTCCATTAATCCTGTAAAAGTCATGACTATTCTGTTTACCAGACTTAGTGTATGAGACAGTACAATGATGAAGACTAATTATAAATCATAGAAAAAAAATTCTGGAAAACAGATTCCTTTAACGTTTCCATTCTGTGCAGGCTTTGTCAGTGTCTTACTACAATGATGCCAGTTGGATTAGAAAGCTTTTTAAAATGTGAATCTATCTTTTCAAAGATTTGTAGCCAAGCCTTTCCAGTTTGTTAAAATGTAATTAGTGTCTGCTTGTTAATATGATGTTCATTGATTTTTAAAGTACACAGACTTCAAAGCTAGAAATAAATAAATAAAAAGAAGATAATTCAAACCAGAGTGGAACAGCTCGGACAGTTTTACTCTTTTGCCAGGATCCCAAAGCTGTTGTGTTCAAACAATGCCACAGTTTGAGTGGAAATGTGAAGATTAAATCCAAACCCTGCATGTCAGCTTTTTTGCAAATGACTATCCAGGATTTCAATAAAATGTCCAACCACAACAGATTATGTTGCAGGGATTTTTATTGCTTAACAACTTGTGATAGTCTCCCATTTCTCTTAACATGTGTTATAAACCAATGCACCTAGCAAGGATTGGTGAAATTTTGGTACCTAACTCTGTTAGGCTCTTCTGAAGAATAATTTGAAAGGAACAAAAGATGAAAAGGTTCCAAAGAAGATGGATGATTGCATAATTTCCCATTGCACATCAGTGCAGTGTGGCACAAAATGGTGTTTCATACACAGGTATGAAACATAATTTGACCACAGTCATGGAGGAAATGATACAAGCACTAAAGAGGAAGGTGGAGGTAACTTGAAATTCAGGGGGGAATTCAAAGATGTGATCCTAAGGAGACAGCAAAAGCAATGCTAGAGCACAGTGCTTGAATAAGAAGCTGGTCTTGAGAAGAAAAAG